TAATTTTATTTTACTCCCATTTATATAAATTTCATGATACGTCAGGCCCTAGAATTTTCGGAATGCATAGAATTTCCTGAGATGGTGCTCGAATATTCCTTATTATATATGCCTTCTCCTGTCCTGACTGGTCAGACGATTAGGTCCTTAATTTATAGCTTTACGGCTTCGTGGCCGCAGGCTGGAATTGATGTCGGTGCCGACTTTGTTCTGGTGGTCTACAGCGCAGCGGCCGCTCTTCTCATTAATGTGACCGCATTGAGAAACTAAAGGCTATTAATTTACATCATCGTCCACAATTACTTATTAATGCTCGCGCTTTTCTGAGTATGCCTAATTGAGACAATTTTTCGGTGCAGTGACAAGTATTCAATGTATTTTTGATTTAGAAGAAAATTTTTTGTTGATATTTGAATTGGGATTGTTGGTTATTTATTGGTTCGTTAGAATTATTTGGTTGGTTGTAGGAATTCACTGTCGGTTTTGAAGTTTAAAGTTTTTTGTCTGATAGCAATTTCGCTACCGTATTTGCGATGTATAGGTGAGGTTGAAGATCTTTTTGTTACTGGCAAAAACAAAAAAAAAACTGTCCAAGTTTTGGGTTCTAGTTGATCAACTCAGATTCTGAACAGATGGTAGTTATATGTAAAATAATACTGGAAGGAAGGAGGAGTTAAGAAAGAGGAAGGAGGAGCCACAAGAACAAGAGAGTGAGGGGGCTGGGGAAGAGAGAGGGAAGAGAGTGAGGGGAGTGGTGGGGAGGGAGGCACGTCGCCGAGGATCGCCTGGTATGCCAACTATGCCAGCTCATTTTTAATTGGAATTTGGAGCTGCGAGCTACAAGGGCTGACTCTCTGCTGCTGCTGCCATGCTGATGACGATGGTGCTGCTGCTGCTGCTGCCATGCTGATGACGATGGTGCTGCTGCCGCTGCCATGCTGATGACGATGGTGCTGCTGCCGCTGCCATGCTGATGACGATGGTGCTGCTGCCGCTGCCATGCTGATGACGATGGTGCTGCTGACAGTGCTGCTGCTACCTTACTGCATGCCGAATCTTTTACCATCGCGGTATCATGAGGATGTGTCTGGGGAAGCTGCGAGTTGGGATTTTACAAAAGGGGAAGTCGCTTAGATTTGGTTAGCGGGCAAGTATTGGTCGTGGCAGTGAGTGCCACGTTAGAACTTGGGTAAAGTAAAAGAAAGAGGTTTCGTTTTAATTGTGGACACAGTATCGAAAAGTAAGCCAATTGCGACTGAGGGAAAACGAACAAGAGGCTGATGTAAACCTAACCAAATTGATCAGACTCAGTATGTTAGTCTGGGAGTAGTACCTATAATTGATCGAAATGTTTGTGCTCGTGCTTCATGGCTAAGTTTTATAAAAATCTCTGTAGCGCGTTGAGCTTGGTGGAACATACGGTACTGTGTATTTATTGCGAAAGAAATTGACTACTGAATTTTTAATTTCTTTATGCAATGCTGAAATATATTCACGTAAACTTGATTAAACGTGCATTTTGTGACACGTATTCAAAAGACCACTAGTAAAAATAACCTACTGCTCGATGTATAGATAATTATCGAGCTCAGTAATGTCTTCAGCACTACGCACCGCCATGCAATGTCTTTCGCTGTCAGAAGTATCGCAGTTTTTATTATAGAAATCTTCTTTCTAGTACGTGTCTAAGGCTTCGTATTTCCACTACATGCGTGCCAAGGCTTTGTCCTCAAAGTAAACACATGTCAAGTCTTCGCATTCAAAGTACATACTTGTCAAGGCTTCGTACTCCGAGTGTATACTTGTCAAGGCTTCGTATTCCTTAAAGTACATGCGTGTCAAGGCTTCGTTCTCCTACGAGTACACACGTTTTAAGGCTTCTTATTCCGAGTACATACGTGTCAAGGCTTCGTAATTCGAGTACATACGTGTCAAGGCTTCATAATTCGAGTACATACGTGTCAAGGCTTCGTACTTTGAGTGCATACGTGTCAAGACTTCGTGCTTCTAATACATACGTCATACGTGTCAAGGCTTCGTACTCCTACGATTACATACGTTTTAAGGCTTCGTATTTCGAGTACATACGTGCTAAGGCTTCGTACTTCGAGTGCATATACGTGTTAGTTAAGGCTTCGAACTGCTTAGAGTACGTGACTAAGGCTTCTTGCTCCAACAATTACCTGGCTAAAATTACAATCAGCGTTGATTAGTGCAGTTCCGTAGAAATTTCATCGTTGAAGAATTGCGTTGGTGGAGGCGAGTTACACTGCATCGTAGTTCGCTCGATGGATGCGCAGGCAATGTGTTCATTACAGGCATTGTCAGCAAGTTTAAGGCCTTAATGTATCAGTGACGGCCGGGCTGGCTCGCTTTTTATTGAGTGGGCTTTGTAGGGCTGCTCTTTATGGCAACTTTTAGGGCCATCTCGCGGCCTTATTATGAAGCTCATAAGTTCCCTCCCTACTTCTGTCAACCCCCTTGACTTTTCCCCCTCACTGTGCAACGCTCATTCACCTCATGTCAGTTGTAGCTGTAGTTTTTCATTAAGGGATTATTTTATTTTAGTGTTGGATCAGTGCACAGTTAACCTTGAAGGTTATTACCGCTTGGTGCAATTTAGGTTATTACCAGTTGGTGCAATTTCGTGCACTGTTAGACTTTGAAGGTTATTACCGTTTGGTGCAATGTATACCTCCTAACCGGGCTATTTGTGTTCCTGTAAATTTGCAGCGAAATAATGCTAGAAATTTGTTGTGGAAGTAATGTAAGAGCAATTATAATGTTCTAGAATTCTTTCAAATGAAAGATAGAAAGCCTTAAGCTCTAATACTAAATAATTATACTATAATACTATAAGTTCGATCATATAAAAAATAATACTCCAAAGTTATGACAACCAAGCCATGCATTAGAGCATAAGAAAAAGAAGAAGTGAACATCAACTTTTTTCTCAAGTCTAACGACGAATTCTGTCATGTTTTAAAGTGAGCGTGAGACTGATCATTGATCAAACATCCTTGTACTGAATAAGCTTTACAGTTCTGCGTATATGTCCTCACACATTTGTGAAGTTCTCTAAATCGAACAATCTTCCATTTGAGCTTCTTCTGTAGCAGCCCACAAGGTCTATTAATTGCTGTGTTTTTCACCCCTTATCATGTCAGGCAGTTTCTTCAGAGGCGACGCAGATTAATATTCCAGTCTCGCTCAAACAAGAGTAAAATACTCCGGACTTCTGCTCGATTAATTTCTTTGTGGAGACCCGCTCGGTTTTTCACTTGCTCTTGGGTCCTCACTTGTGCCGAAAGGCTCGCTTTACTAGACGAGAAAAAAAGCGTTAATTCTGCCTGAATCATTGGCTCATCTTTTTCGTGTTCATGGAGAAAAAATGAAACTATCTGTGAACTGAAAAATAGTGTTACGCTTTTTATTTTTATTTCGGTGGCACATAACTATTACACTGTAATATAAATGACTCAAAACTAAGGGATCAGTATAAGCATCAAAGAAGTTCAAATTTTACGCTTCATTCGGAATAATTTTTCCAATATATCCAACACAAAATGAAGTTATCATTAAAGAACGCTCAATTCGCAACCACCACCGATGTATATTCTCCAAGCCCAATAAAGTCAGTGTTTAACACTTACATGGACTTTCCGCTCAGTGTTGCGGATCAAAATTCAACTTGGTTATCGTGGTCGTAATCAACATGAGTGGATCGCCATAAGTTCTACCCTCAACCCCTCTGCCCTCGACGCCGCTGTGTATAAGTTGTTAATAAAGCGCCCTACTTCAAAGAGGGTAACTTTTAAACGCCCAGCAAAGAGGGGAAAAGCCTCGCTGCTGCTGGGGTTCATGTGTGCGGGGAGGGTTGGGGACTGCACCTCTAAAGGCTTCATATAAGGCACCGCGCTATTGGTAATTCTTGAAATTTGTTGCCATCTTTCTGAAGCGTTCCAAGCCTTTGTTAGACGCAAGTGTAAGAGGTTGTGCTGAGCTTCATTCGTACAAGTTTTATTTGGGGTATTTGTAGGCATGCGAGCAATAAATTATTGCGACTTGATTGCCGTGAGTTCGTGCGAATCTCAAGCTTGTATTTTAAGTAATTTTCTGATTCTCATACGTGGGATTCTCTCATTCACGTAGAATACAAAAGAAAAAAAGTGCGAGCTTTTTACGAGGATCATGAAGTAATTGTGGACATATTTCTTATTGGGTTTCCCTAAATTAGTTGTCTGTTAATTATCAAACTCGAAAAGTTAATTTATAAATGCCATAAATTTGTGTGCTCTTTGCATTAAATATAGTTCGTTCCTCTAACTTCCGATCTGCGAGGTTCCTTATATTTTATTTCAAACATTTGAGTTTTGTATTCGTGTATTTGCGATCCATTTTTTCACGGTGCTATGCATTTTTCCTTGTGTTTCTCTAGAAAGCCTAAAGGATGGGAAAGCATGAATGTTTCAGCGTGTTTTGATGTAGTTCATTTGTAGGCATGCAAGCAAAAAATTATATCGATTTGATTGCCACAGTGTTCGTGCGGATCTCACGCTTGTATTTCAAGTAATTTTGTGACTTGCATACATGGGATTCTCTCATTCGCATAGAATACAAAAGAAAAAAGTGCTAGCTTTGCTTTGTATGAGGATAATGAAGTAACTGTGGACATATTTCTTATTATGTTTCCCTAAATTAGTTGTCTGTTCTAATTGTAGACGCTGCTTTGTCATTGACGACAGACACTCGGAAAGTTAATTTATTAACTATGGAAAATTTGCGTACTCTTAGCATTATATATAGTTCATTTCTCTGACTTCCGATCTGCGAGGTTCTTCATATTTCATTTTAAACATTTAAGTTTATTTCCGATCCATTTTTTCACGGTGCTATGCATTTTTCCTTGTGTTTCTCTAGAAAGACTAAAGGATGGGAAAGCATGAATGTTTCAGCGTGTTTTGATGCCACAACATCACTAAAGTGCGACTTGTACTCAGGTCGGAACGAGCTCATCGCCCGATACATAAAGCTTCGCACGGGCAAGACGCGGACGCGTAAGCAAGTCTCTTCTCACATCCAAGTCCTCGCACGACGCAAGCTGCGCGAAATTCAAGCTAAACTCAAGGTTAGTTCTGCATGATTTTATCCGTTTACCTTCTCCCCAGTGGTATTATTTGTCTATTTTTTTATTCTAATGGTAGTTTTCTAGTTAATTTTGTTGTTTTCCTAATTATTTTTTATGTGTGTTAGTGTGTATATCGTCTCACGTTATAACACTCTGTCATTGAGTTCACAACTGCGCAGTTGTAAACTTAATGATAACTTCTTTCTTTCCATTTTTATTTGCCTTTTGTTGTATTATCTGCGAATAAACTTGTGCAGTCTTTATGCGTTCATGATTGTGGAGGTTAATCACCTGTTTTTTTACGCTTTAACTTTTACAACAATTTTTTATTTTAAAACGAGACAGACCGTGCACTCGTAATTTGTACTCATGACGCATTCTTGAATAATCTTCTCGTTTTTTTTTATTATTGTGCATTACCTATTTTTGGAGAATGTTTCTTAAAAAAACATTTTTTTACTCTCATTAGTGAAGCTACTAATGATTCCACTTAACGTTTTTCACTTCTTCATTCATATACATTACTCGTTTATCTCTAACCTGCCCTTCCAAGTTTATTTCAGCTGTTTTTTTATTTAACTCTATGTCTACTGACGGTATCGTTGCCAGGCCTTTAGACAGGAATTACATTGACGACAGCCATTCTATCAAAGAGAAAAATGCTTTATCTTTTGTTGACTTTTGTCCACGTAGAAAGGTACTGACTTTTATCGTATTTTACGGTAGCTGGCAATACCTGGCATTTAGATACGAATAGCACTGGCGACGTTCACTGCACCGTAGACATAGGGTTAATCGAAGTTTTTTTTAAATTCTGTTAATAAATTCTATTTACGTAGTCGTTATTTTTGTTTATGACGCGAACATTTTTTCGTTTTGTTGCAGGATGTGCCGGGGGTAAGTTGAGTGTGTGACGTCATCGTGCATCTTTCGTTTTGCTTGGTTTCGGCAGCCACGCGAACTTTTCTTGTGTAGTACTCACCCACCAGGCACCTGACGTTAAAATAACGTTGATTTAACGTTTTTTCATGTGATCAACGTTATTTCAACGTCGTTTGTCTGGAGGGTAACTTCGTGGTAGTAGTTAATCAGGATTTGCTTGATAATTAACTAGGGCTTAGTTTTTTGACATTATGTTTATTTTATTTCGTTTAGTTGTGAGTAATAGTTTAAATTACTACCTTGTGTTCTTTGCGCGGTATTATTATATATCGCAGCTGTAATTTAACATATTGATTAATTACTGGTAATGATTAGTCTAACTGAAGAAAAGTGTTGAGTGATCTAGAAATGCAGTCTAATGAATTTTTTTATCATATTTTTCTGATTCATTGTATAAAAATAATAAAATATTGATGAAGACGAATGAAAATATATTGAAAATACATGACTGTGAACTACAGGGGTTTGACAAAATAAGGGAAACACCTGAGAAATCCACAAAAATATTCTAGTATGGTGTAGGTCCACCATTTACGGAAATTATAGCCTCAGTTCTGCGAGGCAGTGATTCATAACAATTTTTAATTGTTTCCAAACAAATTTTAACCCATTCTTCACTTGAACGATGATCTAGATCTTTTAATAGGATGACGGCGGGAATCGACTTTTGACTTGCATATCTAAAATCAACCATAACTGCTCAATAATATTCAGGTTTGGTGATTTTGGTGGCCAAATGAGATTCTCAAATTCATTAGAATGTTCCTCGTGCCATTTTTTAACAATTCCAGCTGTATGGATCGGGGCATGATCATCTTGAAAGATGGCGTTCCCCTTCGGTAACAGTGCTTACGCCTTTGTATGAGCTTGGTCATCCAAAATTCGTAAATAGTCGCGGCTGTTGATTCTTCCATGAAGAGAAATCATTGGTCCGCTGTATTTCCAAGAAATAGCACCCCAGATCACAGATCCCCTGTCATGTTTTACGGTTGGGTGGAGGAAGTAGGGATTAAATGACTCATTTGGCTGCCTCCAAACGTTAACTCGGCCTGAGATTGGAAATAAGGTAAACGATGATTCGTCAGAGAAATTCACATTTTTCCTCTGCTCGAGGGACTAATTATGGAGGTTTTTACACCACTCTAAACGCTTTGAAGCACGCATTTGTATTTGAAAGCAGATGTTTTCTAATTGCAGCTCCTCCATAGAATCCAGATCTGTGCAATTTTCGGTGGACAGTCTTTTTCGGAAACTAGTTCTGTTGGTGTCCATTGAGCTTTGCAGTAATTTCAACAGCCGTGATCTTTCGATTGTCCCTCACAATTCGATTTAGGTACCGACGGTCTCTCTCAGACAACTTCGACTTTCTGCCAGACCTGTGCTTTGCTTTGGACGTTTTTCCTTCTCTTTCAAAAGCAGTCTTTACTTTTGAGACAGTACCTCTAGAAACTAAGCATTCGGGAAGTTTCTGTCACACCCGTACCTGCCATACGGGCACCAACAATTTGGCCTTTTTGAAAGTCAGAGAGGTTTGCCATTCATAGGTTATAGACACAACAATTTACTAGAAATACGTGTTCGAGGATAAAATATCAACTAGCAGCAACAATACAGCATAAAAATGTCACGTTTCATTGTTTATAACATGTTCAAAAATTACGATATCCAAATGTCAGGTGTTTCCCTTATTTTGACCAACCCCTGTAGAATAAGTTAAGAAACATGATCGTGTCTTTCGTTCACAAATGTTTTTTTGTACAGGGCTGTTCACCTGACGACAGCAACAGCATGCTAAGACTGGTGAGCATTTACTTCGTTAATCCTTGTCATACTTTAATTTTAATTCGTTGTAATCGAACTGAGTTTAGTCACATTTGTAACCTAGTTGTCTTACAAAGGTTAAGGCTGAGAACATCCACTGTTGCTTCTACTTATCGAACTACATTTTGTTTTCATTGGTTATAGGTATCCATTTTTCACTATGCAACGCCATATTTAGCAAATGTATAACCGGCACTTGTAATATGTTTGAAACATCACTGGTATACATCACACTTGTTATTATCGACGTCAATTACAAGAAGTCTTGTCTTCTTCGCAACCTAGCTTGAAATGGTAAATGTCACACTTGTCACTCGTGTTGTTCACTGGTTCATGTCACTATTGTTACTCATTGGTGCTTGCATATGAAACACTAGTCACTCTAGTTATTCACTGTCCGTTGTTACTCTATTTACTACCGCGCCCAATACCGAATTTGACACGAATCCTCGTGCCTCAGGACCAAGCAACGAAGGAGAAAGCGCTGCAGACGATGTCCTCGATGTCGTCGGCTCAAATCGTGTCAGCGTCTGCGATGCACCAGAAGGGCGGCCTCAACCTCGGCCCTCCCTCCATGTCTTACCCTGGGTCCATCGGCGGCTTCTGGCAAGGGGGACTGCAAGCTGGCACTAGCCACGAGTACGTTTTTTTTGCGAAAAATACTATGTAAAAATACCTTTTGGGAATACTATGTAAAAATTATTTAGTTCCGTAGAACTGAACATAGGTCCGCCCTCCATGTCTTACATGACTGTATCAGGGGCTTCTGAAAGGGCAGACAGTAAGCTGGCACCAGTCGCGAGTACGTTCATTTTCACGCAATGTTATGTAAAATATACTTTTTATATAACTACTACTTATATAACTATTATGTAAAAATCATTATATTCTTTACTTGGATCAAAAATGTTCCGCTATTTTGTCAGAATTTGCTTCCAAGATGATAGATATTTAACACCACGCCCTATGTTTAACTTGTAAGTATTAATATTATTATTTGACCAGCGTAAATTATCCGACTTCAGGATCGTGAAGTATTTTTATCGATTATTTGACTTTCAGACTGCGAGTTAATATAATTATTTGCACAGCGTAAAGCCGTTCAGCCAACACGGTGGTAACTTCGTATGTGGAGACGAGAGCAAAGCGTCGATGTTGCTGCCAGGGCACCAGGGCGCCGCCCCCGGGGTCATGGGCCCCCCCTGGGAGGGCCGGTCCATAGCCACGCACAAGCTCAGACTCGTCGAGTTCAGTGCCTTCGTCGAGAGCCAGAGAGATCCTGACACGGTCAGTGCCTTTTGCATGTTCACAACGAAAAAATAACTTGTATATTAATAATAATAATAATAAATAACACGGACAGTTCTTTACGGGAATAAAAATCAAGTTTGTCGCCGAATTTTTAATAATAAATTAAGTTGCGTGGTAGCCTCGAAAATTGCTGATCACATTTGTCCTCGCTTTTGTCTAGTGTTAGTTGCATCTTTGTAAAGAATAGTATATAGTTATGATTGATTAAATGAATGAATGGGAGTCGCGATCATCAGTATAATGGATCAAATTTTCCTGTACTGATGATGGCTGAGTAGAGTGCTGACGTGTGATGCCTTCGTGATGAAGAACAGGATTGGAGTAAGACTTTTACCACAAATTCCTGAGAGTGTGTTTAATCTAGCAGAGAATTGGAAATTTTTAGCTTATTTATAAAAATTTTCGTTTGTGCAGTACCAGAAACATCTCTTCGTCCACATCGGGGGCCAGACAACATACAACGATCCTCCTTTGGAAGTAAGACATTTAACATCATACAATATCAGCTGAATTCTTCTTTGCCATATATATCACTAATTCCCGTATTTTTATTCGAGTCAATTCTTGATCGTATTAATTTCTATGCTCACAGGCTGTGGATATTCGACAAATCTATGACAAATTTCCGGAGAAAAAAGGCGGGCTAAAAGACCTCTATGACAAAGGTCCTCAGAGCGCGTTTTTCCTTGTGAAGTTCTGGGCGGACCTCAATACAAATATGCAGGATGAGACGGGCACCTTCTACGGCGTCACCAGCCAGTCAGTCCTATTCTATAATTCTTGTATTTAGGCTCTGTATTGTGGGCTCGATGTATTAATAAAAAGTGTTATTAACTCTCAGGCTACGATGCCTGATATTACGTCCTTACCTACTGATTTTGCCGTAATATTGATCGTTATATTCAATATCAGGAATACATTTGTTTGCGAACACGTATGTTTAAAATACATGTCTATACATGTATAAACCAATACATACTCAACGCGTTAATTTTAAATGGAGAGTTCTTCGCTCGTTATTTTGTTCTCCGTTTGACCGTGACACGTCTTATATCGTTATTTATTTTTCTTGTTTGTTTCATTGATACGTTGACTAACGTTGTTTGATATTTTGACTAATGTTGTTTGATACGTTGATTAATGTTGTCTGCTACGTTGACTAATGTTGTTTTCCCGTTACAGATACGAGAGCCCCGACAATATGACGATCACTTGCTCGACCAAAGTGTGCTCGTTTGGCAAGCAGGTTGTCGAAAAGGTCGAGACGGAATATCCTAGATTCGAGAACGGTCGCTTTGTTTATCGGATCACACGGTCGCCCATGTGTGAATATATGATCAATTTTATACACAAACTAAAACATCTCCCGGAAAAATACATGATGAACAGCGTCTTAGAGAATTTTACCATATTGCAGGTGAGTTGTCATAGAGTTACATCAAGATTTTTTTTAAATGATAGATAACTGATCAGTGGTATTATTGCAATATACGAGAAGACTGAATTGGAAATTTTGTCGGTAAATATCAATTTAATTTAAAATCATGACTTTTATTTATGGAACTGAAATGGTACCACTCATTTCTATGTATAATATGAATTTGAACATGTCTTTGCTTTATCATTACGCAATGGATTTATTTTTACTCACTAGATTTGAGATTCCTTAGCCCTGAATTACAGAGCTAATCCATCCTCGTGAACGCCGTGCTAACCTGCTAGTTTTCTCATAGTCAATGTTGTTCCTTATAATTGAAAGGAATTTAAAAATTTTAGGTGGTGACTCACCGGGAGACGCAAGAAACTCTGTTCTGCATAGCCTACGTTTTTGAAGTGTCGACATCAGAGCACGGCGCCCAGCACCACATATACAGACTCGTTAAAGACTAACATACGGCCAAGCTCAGCAACCCGCTTGTTGTGGCAGCCCACAACAAATGTCGCCACATCTCCTTCGTTACCTCTGTGCCCACGCTCGTCCGTATCTCGTAGCCTCCCCGTACACCTTCCCGCAAAAACGTATAATGTCTAAGCCACGTTAATCCTACTTTATAAACGTTTATGATACAAGCTCTTAAAAACCCATTGTTTTCTCGTCTCCGTTGCATTGAAATTTTGTCGATGACAAGTTTATGACTTTCGTATAAAATGCATAGTTAATTGGATAACAATTTTGCGTGCAGCTAAAATCCAAGACGAGCAGACTAAGCTATCCTCTGCGTCTGAAGTTTTTATGTCTGTTGACCAAAATTATCGTCGTGCATATAATTTTTATGTTTATTACCGACTTGTAGCACGCAATTATCTTATGCTTTATATAGTTTAAAAGTAAGCATACTTCACTCTGACCACGCAGTGCGACAAATACAGAAAGGGTGTCCCGGTAGTTATGGATTAATGTAAGGACCATTAAATGCAGCGTTTTTTGCCTTCATTTCTTATTCAGTTTATGGTTGGTTCTTCTTACTGGCTGCATTATTTCGAACAGTACTTAATGTTTTCATATGTTCTACTTTTTCACCAAAAATTCGTGAAGAAATTATAGGAATCACTTCTCCTTTCCTTGGATCTCTTGCATCCCACGCCATTATTTTTGCAAAAGACTGCGTTTGTCATTAAGCGCAAACTCCGCTGTTGCAATGTGCAACTCTTGTATATATAACGCGAGCCTAAAGCAAACGAAAGTAATGAAGTGCCTTTAGGGTTACGGAAATCTATTATATTTGTACCTATTATCCTTACCAAGGGAAGGGGTCTTGCTTTACCCATATATCATAATGATACTTAACTCGTATTTGTGATCATGTCTGTCATTTGCCTGTGCTTAAATGTGGCTCAACGACGAGCTCCCATAGCTGAGCGCACTTGCAAGTTCTTTTACGAGTCATTTGCAGGTGTTGAATCTCCAAGCTATTGGTTTTGTCTTGAAATTATTTATGTCAATATGATGGTTTGTTTTCTCTTAGGCAGCTCGATTGTGAGTGTAATTATCGCAGCTGCGTGATTGTAGTTCAATTTATAATTGTCACCTCCAACCTATTTTGCATTATTCTCCAGTCCATGCCGCCCTGCTGCTCGACTCGTACTAAAGTCCGAACCGTGCCACATTCTTGCACTCCTCCGTTTCACATATTTGCTGTCAAAATTAGTATATTTTAAATTGTCCTACGATTTTGAACATTTATTTCATACTATTCGATTGCTCACGTCTATATTATGAATTCAAATTTGTCTGAAATTTTTTAGACACAACGTGCCGTTTAAAATGATTCTGGTCTGTGCATATCAAGGAAACAATTCATTTATAATCTTTCCAAGGGTCAGTTTGCCAATTCTATATTTTTCTTAAGAGTTTTAAGAAGTAATATATTTGTTCGCGCATTTGAAATTCTTAGGGAATATTGTTGTATTTCTATTTGTACAGCTTTCCTTTCTGCTGGACTTCTTCTTCGAGGGTCAAGCTTAAGTCGCCCGTTACTTCGTCTGTTACAGCTGCTTCTCTTCAGATATATATTGCCTAGTGTTTAGATTACTCTTAAGTATTGCTGAATTGCTGTCGTCACAGCAGAGCGAGTTTCGTTACCATGGGCTAATAACTCTTTTTCATTTCCTCTGCCGTCTTTCTTATCTCAAGATTTTTTGCGCTTTTTATTGCTGAAAAGATGTCCTTGACTAATAGTGTTTGTGATAAACCAGAGCTTATAGGTCGAGTCGTCGAGACTAGTCCTTTTTTTCCTGATAATTTTCAAAATTTAAACATTTTGATGGATTTTCTACCATATTTTTCATATTCGTAACATCTATCAATGGCATACATTTTTTTTGTTGCTCCTGGACTTCGTTCAAGCATTGTAGACACGTTTGCTAAACGCTTGCATCTGTCGTTTTCATGATAGTTTCGTTTTCTAAATATTTTTCCTTTGCTGTGGCCCTTCATTATGTAAAGACTGCATCCGTTTAGCTGGTGCATTAGATTAGTTTTGTTACGTGCATGAGCTTCTCTTTAGACTTGTTGAATACTTTATTTAATAGTTCGTCTAAGTGGCCGCATTGCGCCCATGATCTCAAAGCGACGATGGGAAGCTTGCTTTTTATTATTGTTAATCTGATTTTCTCGAAATCGCCATTGCCTTCAAAACCGAACCTTTGAATCAATTTCTGTTAGCCTCCTGGCCATTCTGGCCTCATGCCAGACATGCTATTTTTTGGCATTACTTTCACCTACTCGTGATAGTGGAAGATGAAGCAAATGCCTCCGAACTCAATTTTGTCAAGTGGTGTCATTTCACCACGCGTAATCGAATTCCCGTTCTTGATATCTAATTTAGAAAAATAGTGCATCTTTTACTTGTGGTTTTACATACAATTTTAACCATGAAAAGTCATCTATTCTTTTTAAACACGCCATGCCGATGAAGTCCAAATTACATGTAAAGAGCCATTAATGTTTGTTGATTGATTGGTCATTGGGAACGATCGATTTGGTGATCTGTGTCGTAGGTTGGAGTTTTGAAGACATCGTTTTCGTCGTTATAAAGGCCTGAAAGTGCTTATACTGTCGAGTAACGAGGCTGGCGATCGTACCGAGTGTCGAAATATAGCGACTATACGTTTTATATTTGTAAGCATGCAGCAATTCTCACGCCTAATTTGTTTCTGCCAAATGTAAGCTTACTTTTATGTTATTAGTACTATCTGGCTGGAGGATATACATTCATATTTATGCTGGTAAAGTTCCGGCATGCAACTTTTTGTACTTAACTAATGTCATTCATCCGCTTGATGGTTGCTGTGAGAGCTCATTTTAGTTCTACGGTGTCATGTCGAATGAATTTTATGATTTACATTTCATACCAACCACTTAAAGATTATATCGTGTGAGATTTTTAACATTAGTTTCTCCTGAACAGCACAACATGTATTGCCCAATGCTTTTAGAATAATTTTTTAAAATTGTATTTTACATGGCGCTGCCACGATGCTTCCCTTCCCGATAACTTACATTTTTCATAGTAGAAGACCCGCCTTGGCTTTTTTTTCAATTATCTTCTACCTTCATTTTTTGATGCTTCTATAGAACCAAACGTTTAAGATAAAATAAAAAAGGGAATTTGATACTCGCAGAAAAGGTTCTAGGTTTAATTAATATTCCTAAAAGATACCATTCCGGCCTACAAAATTGAAGCTTAGGTAGAAGTCGATTATATGGAACAAATTTAATTGTCCAAGAGTTTAGAACCAAAGAAAAAGCCATGAAATTCGACGACACAGGTTCGTCTTGGCAAGTTTTTTTTTTAATTCTTAATTTATTCACGATTCAGTCAATGGAGTGATTTTAAATTTCATTTTTAATTTGAAATGATGTGTGTACAATTGTCATTTCGTGGGTAACACAGGCCACATCAATCATAATTCTTCTGCATCGCTCTAGATCTAGGATAGAAAAATTCGATGCTTGCTCGTGAACGGAGGTGAAGGAATTGATCTCATTGTGTGCCGTGTTTAGTTAGAAAATTAGCCTCTTCAGTATTTTAATGCGAGGATAACTAAATGTGCACCTTGCTGATTGATTTAGTTAAAAGTTATTCCCTATGGGCATGAGTGCTGTTCTTGGGTGGTTTTGTTTCAGAGTGACGCGCGCCTAAAGTACAGAAAACGAACGGTTGTATTTCCTTTATTAACAATTGAACGGTGAAAAAGAACTTAGACTGTTATCATGTTGGGTAGTTGCAGCGAAGCCCCGCTTTCTTTCCTTGCACAATATCTTTGAGGTGTCGAACACATTTCAATTGAAGCGTATTATAAAATTCTGTTTCTGTGTTCGAGAATAACGACAGCCTCGGCACAACTGGAACTCGGTGTCGCAATTGCCGACCTCTGGGGCCATACTTTCAAAACTCGATAAGTGAACGTAAGTACTTACGCTCTTAGTTCTTGTCTATGATTGGTGGATTTTGTTTGATAGTCCGTCAATGATTGGCTCATGAACTTACGATCTCTCAACCTTTTTTTTTTTTTGAAATTATAGGCCCTGTTCAGTGGGTTGTTGCTGATGGTGCGCCTAGAAAGGCTGGTCGAGAGTGCTGGAAAAGGGCGGTAATTACTCCAGCCGCACGTAAATAGCAAGGGACTCTGGTGTCATGTGCGTGGCTGTGATGAGATCGTGCTACTGCTCACGGAGAGAACTTAATACCACTTAAATAAAATTAATGAATGTGATAAAAAAAACAAATGCTATTGGTTCGAGACTAGGCATCGATATCAGCCGTCTGAACTGAGAGATTTGTCAAACTTATTCGAGGTATTGAGCTGTCATCACAGATGTTAAAAGTTTAACAGCGCTCTCGGAGTTTTAATTCGATGCGATGACTATTACTGAATACGAAGTTTTCGACATGAGCTCACTTCCATTGTTTTGACGTTTTTACAAAAAAGTTTTTAGGGGAACATTTTTTATTGTATGTGTGGACATTGATTAGCTGCACTGGTTGCTGCATCATGAATATTTCACGCGTTATTTTAACGCTTCAACGATGTAATACCTACTACCGGTTAGCCATATTCATTGATCCACCAGCTTTTGTGAGGATTAAATTTTTTGCGAATTCACGATTGCTGTGATTACTATTGGAAGAGATTATTGATACAGTTCTTTTATTGAAACCCCGAAGTCCTTTTCGGTGTAAGGTAGGAAATATTTCTTTTACATTTTTGGTTCAACCAATCAAGGGATATAATTTAGGTCGTGATATACTCGACTTTCATCCTGGTACCGCAAGATTGACAATTTGACGATATTCTAAAACAATGCCACTGGCTCCCTGTTCAGTGTTATGCAATCAATTTTCCCTAATTATTCACTATGAAAGCCGCGTTTAATTTTAAAATATGAAAAATGTTGAATATTTCTTGAAATTGGTTCAAACCTGTTATGATGAATGGACACAGTTTTTATTGATAAATGTTCGTAAGTTAAGGATGTAAGTTGAATGTGTTGGTGCTAAGCCCTAATACATGTTCAGTGTTGACCACCCCACAAAATTTCAATGTAAAAATTTACTCATTTGTACAGATTGTAAATAAATTGTCATTTTTATGTGTAGTTCCGTTATAATCATTCATGGTTGCACATGTTGATTGGAAATTATTAAAATGGTTACATTAGCATTCAGTTCTCAAAAACATTGATAATTGTTGAGCTAACAGAAATCGCGAGTTTGATAACAAATACGTCGTGTAGTTAATGCATGGTATCGTTTTGAATGTGAATGCTTACCAGGCAGATACAGTGGTATTACTTGGAAACAAAGAACTTTGTAAACCACTTACGAAAGGTTTTTGGCCATTTTTTAACGGCAAGCGATATCTTAAGATTTTCTCGACTTTTTCAGAAAATGTCCTGGAATTTTTTGTAAAATTCCAGGGTAATTTCCAAAGTCTGCATAAATAATTCCGATATTCGATGCGAAATAACGGGCTTGAAAATACTTGCGAGTACCTGTCATATATTACAATTATTTGTTAAAATTGATTTCAAAATGAAAATAGGAAGAACTAACAATGCATCAAAAATCTTCGCAGTTTCTAATACATTTTCAGCTCATAATGAGCAACATTCCTGTAAGGAGAAAAGTAGAAAAAGGCAACCAAAAGCGAAAATTTTACTAGCTTCTACTATAAATTATAACAGCCTGCCGCTATCTCGAGATTAGCGGCATGTTTTTTGACACCTAAAAGGAAAACCAATTTTCAAATGAATGCGATGGCAGAAGTTATACTCTAGAAATTTTTACGGTCTTCATACAGAATGAACCAAAGCCAAACAAAATCGCGATCCCGTAACAAAATTTGTTAAAAAATACGCTGCTTAGTGTGGAGAAAGTTACAAAAAAAAGAGTACTTGTTTTCTGAAAATTCTCAGATGGAACAGGAGTTCCAAAAAATGCAAACAAATGCAAGGCAAGCAAATGAATAAAATAGTTTCAATGCAATTAACGACGCTAAAATCCCGGAGCAAAGCGGTCAAATAGGAAGATTTCAATCATAATATTAATATAGTAATAGCGGTTTCAGCGTTTCTTAGGCCGTAGGCCTGTCGCCGATTCTTAACATCGCAGAATATTCACAGCTTGTTGAGGTTTCGAACGCGCAACTCACTGCTTCATTTTGCTTAACCGCTCGGCCTCCTTGCCGGTTCTGAGCAGAAACTGGCGCACAGAGCTGGGATCGAACCCGCACCTCTCTGCTCAAATATTGGTACTCTGAACTTTAACCACTGGGCCTGTAGCAGTCGAGGCGAAGAGAGCTTCGTAACAACGATACCTACAACAGCATAAAATGTGACAAACCTTCACGAAGATGAATAGGCTAATGGAATACATCCATACAAATCAAAAGATGCAGTTTCTCTCTGAAGTGCAATTAAAAGAAGAGAGCAAAGACCAATCGACCAGCTAAATGAATGAAAGCGAAATAAATAACTTTTTTGGGAAGCGTATATAAGTTCATAAAGAATTGTAAAGATGAAAAGTCATAATCTAACAGTAATGCAGAAAAAGATTCAAAATACCCGTGAGTGATAACTACTGGCTGTAGCACTAACAATTCTAATTGCAGCAACGACAGCGTGAGCAACGATATCAACTCAACCAGTGGACTGCACCAACGAGGAACATGAGATTCTCATCATTTATTATACTGACAATATACAAGCTATAATAATTAGAAACTGTTCTGTAATTTCAAGTTGAGAACTCATGAAAGTCAGCTTTCAAATAAAACATAAGTATCTAGATAACTAAAATAATTATTTCAAGAAAAATTATGGGGAGCAATCGTTAGAAAACATTGACTGAAACTAAATTTTTTATTTTTAAATCAACAACACATTTTGCGTTTATACAACGGTATGTAGAGTAAATAAAAAAATTAAGAAAAAAATAGCTAAGCAAATATTTACAGAATGATTCTCCCCGAATAAGCTGATTAGATTAATAGAATAATAATCAAGTAAGTAGTCAAGAGAGCTAAATCTAAAATCTGAAGGCGAGATTCAAGCGTCAAGACTAATTATTCTAGCTCACAACCAATTCATTGAAAGCACAAAGCATAACAATCTTCAAATTCACAAATCTCCTTAGCAAGCTAACTTTGAAGTTTCTAAAAAATTCCATTAAAAATTCAATAAATTTATCTGCAGATAAATACAGTCGTTGTATAGCCAATTTTTGTCATGACTTGCAAACCAGCCACAGCTTCCTGCAACACAGCTGACAGTGGAAATTAATCAAAACTGTGATCAGGAAAAAACTCCGAAATTCCAAGGACTGCAGGTACCAGAAAATCAACTATTATCTCAATTTTAGTAACAAAATTTAATCACTCTGTAATGGATCAGCAATAACAAGAAGCGTTTCTAACAACAAGAGAAGCTGTTGCTGCATTTAACCAGTTTCGTGTACAAGCTAACAATATCAACAACAATATCACAAATATCATCACCGTCGTCAACAACAGTATTAATAATCAACAATCCTCCCATACGAGTATAAGACAAATCGATACTAGAAGTTGTGAGCTTCAAATTTCATCAATGCCTATAACAGAATAAATCTTATTGGTGGGCTCATGACCAAGTTCAGCGCAATACATAAATAAATAGTGATGAGTTACTATACCATGCATATTAGGAATTAATAAAGTTTTCGTTGATACGTTTTCCTCTAAATATTTTACGACTTAAGTCATTTTAAATATGATTCTAAACGGTCAAGAAAGGTATTCATGATAACGATGAATCTTTCATCACAATCACGCACAGCATCAATGAGAACAGCTTAGCAGAAACATATTGCAGAAGCCAAACTGGCACAATTATTACTAATATTTATATTCTTTTCTGCTCTTGACCGCACTTTCTATACTTTCTTTACTGTATGGAGAGTTTTCTCCATTACTATTAAAACTAATTACGGAACCAAAACATCGAAGATAGGTAAACATAACAGTTTATGTCATTCAAACAAACGCAGGGTGATCACAATATGGAGTAATTATTTTCAGGAGTAATTATTTTCAAGAAGTATTGTGATGGCCCTGAAGTCACAATGAATAAATCATTTATCAGGCTTTTTCTTATAAACCAGAATCATGAACGATCGGACTCTGAAATGTTACAGGAAAGACTTCAGTTTTTATTTTACTTCAATATTGTTCAACAATAACAAAGGCTAACAATAACACGTAAGAGATAAGGTAAGATCTTCGTGTTTCTTGAATTCACACCCACAACAGATGCGGAAGACCTAAATTGACATAGTGTTTCTACTTATATTTTATGGCCAAGTAAAACACTCTTTATGAAGAGGTGATCTGCAAAAGAACGCCTCAATACTTTGGACGTCATCAATTCGTTGCTGCATGAATGAACCTGTGGTGCTACTTCGCAGAATTATGGGTGAAATATTTATTGTAAAATTTGCGTCTTCACTTGAATGATGTGTCATATTAGTGAAATGAAGGCAAAATATTTTCATTAAAGAAAAATACAATACATTACCTGAAACTTTTAGTATCAGAGACTAGTATATCGCATGCCATGGAATATCTTCACGTGAGCAAATGAAAGCAAATAATTTCATGCTTTTCGATCTAAATGGAAACATCAGGAATTTTCCTAGAAAAAAAATATGTAAGCGAGTTCATTGCCACTCAGGCTCCTCGCTGTAGAGGCGGTTCACGTTGTCTCTGAGTAGCTGGACTTGCTCTGAACGCAGACTGGCTATGGTGACTTGTTTACGCAGAAACTCCGACACCATTTCTTTGCTTAGACCAAACGCGTGCATGTTGCAGGTGAACGTCCTGAAAGCAATATTGATTCACCAAAAGAATACTCCATAATTTCACATAAATAATAAACTAGCAAATCAGTAATAGATAGGATAAATTCATATCCAATCATTTGAAAATTAATTGCATGGCATCCATAAATCGAAATTTCTCTCAATAATCAGACTTGATTTATTGAAGAAAGAAGGCAGGAAAATCAATAGTTTAAAGTTCAAGAACCTTAATCGTGTTTGGCAACCCAGTCTTGCATCAAACTTGATCGTGTTACTTGTGTAGCTTTATAGTTCAAAAACACTTACCCAAGCTGTCCAAAAGTGATGTTTTCCTGGTAGTGAAGCTCATCCTTGACTGCCTGGTCCTTAGATCCCGCCTCGAGCTCCTGTCTCGTGGCGACGGGGCGCAAAGTTCGTTCGCATTGAAGGGCGTCGAAAAAAGCTGCGTTCCAGAATCGCAGCGACGACCAGATCGGCTGATGTCGAAGGTGCATGTACAGGAACTCTTTGGTCCGAACTTCGCTATTTGGGCTTTTCTCTGCGAAATGGTAAACAGATAGCACAATGTTTCCAAAGCTGGTGGGAATTTTAGCTACATGATTTTCCAGCTCGAAATTAAAGCATTATTCCATTGCAAGCAACAAGGGGTACAGTCAGGAAACAAAATAAGTTAAGTCTTCAAGCGTACAGATTAATCTTACACCACAAAATCTCTTGTGTAACAGTTACTCACAATCATGGCTGCTGGTGACATACTTGCTATCATAAATTGGTAGTATCATAGTATTGATGGTATCAAAAATAAATTGGTAGTATCATAAATTCTGCTCGTGGTATATGTGAAGCACATTTTCATCACAGTTAACAGCCACTCACGTTCATGGTAATATGTGAAGCACATGTTCATAAGGCTTTTAGCAGGCGAGAAGTCATCAGCCTCAGCGCACTCGGCTAGCACGACGCTGAAGTGCTGCACCAGCGCCAGGAAGCTCGCGTCACACACGCACCGGCAGCAGCGCTTGCCATTGATGCATCTCGCGAACCACAGTCGGCCGCTGTCAGTCTGCACGCAATGACTGAATCTTAATTTATTCCATTGAATAATTCTAAAGCTAAAATTATATGGGTTACTTCATAGAAAAAATTGTTATCAATATGCAAGCAGTGACTCAATCATGAAATCAAATTTTTTGTTAAAAGATTATCGAACAACACTTAGAGAATCTCTGAAAATTTTGTTTCGTCACTTAGTAATCTGCACTTAGTAAACCAATTATTTGGTAACCACGCCAGATGCAATTAATTTCGTTATCTAGTGAACAAAAACCTATGCGATTGATAAGTTCACTGTAAAATTTCTGTCCGATCATACCTTAGCAACGTCAGCAAAAGCCGCTTTTTGCACGGCGCTGATGTCATCGGGGGCCTTGAAGATGCACTCGACGAAGCTGCGCATGAAGTCGCGTGGGTTGTTGGGGTCGTCTTGCTGGCTATCGTATGAAAGGCTAGATGCCCACGACTGCAATGACGTTAATGATCCTGAAACAAATAAACGACTGTCAATTAAACGTAATACGGAAAAATTAAGCAATTGAACCAACAAGTGATACTGATAATATAGCTTGAAACATTGATTTTCAGTTTTGAGGAACAGATTTCGGCTAGAAGAAGAATCATGTAAATAATAACGGTTGGAAGTTTCAAGATAATCAAATAATACTTTAAATCAGTGAAAAAAAAATCCAAGAAATAACTAAACCATAATTTAATATCTTACCGTCCCTTATCCAGAGCTTCTTTCACACTTGGACATCTTAAAAATGTTATAGAACTACCTACCACATGATTCTGAATCGAGTTTTTTGCGACTGTTCCTTATAAATTTCCAACAAAAAATGGCTGCTGTAACTGGACATCTTGAAAAGCAGGCCTTATTCAAAATAATTGTGGACAAGCACTGGCTTAAATTTTAAGTTTATAGTAGTGCACTGGTTTATATTAGTAGTTGAAAAAATTATTTTGTGTACAAACACTGGCATTAATTTTTAGTGGGCAAGAACTGGTTTAAATTGGTAGTGTAGCGACACTGGTTTGGTGTTTTAAATTTTTAGTGCAGAAAATTTATTTAAATTGGTAGTGGGCAAGCACTGGTTTCAAATTTAAATTTTAAAACCATTAGTGAACAAACTCTAGTTTGAATAAGTGGTGTACAAGCTGCTGGTTCGAACTTGAAGAAGAGAATGAATAGCTGGAAAAGGTAGAGGCCAACCACCGATTTAAATTAGTACTTGACAGGCACCGGAGTGACTTATTGGCGGTTACGCACTAATTCGAGATCGGTCCAAAAATATTGGCCAAGCAATCCAGTATCATATATTTGGGCTAGAAATCTAGAATTCATTTTAAAAAAATAAATAAATCATTAACATAGGGCTGGAATTCAATTTGCAAGAAAAGCATTATTATAAATAAAACCGAACTAATTTACTAGAAAGCAGCATGATTAACTTACGAGCAATCGATAACTCACTGTGCTTATACTTGAGTTTATCGTATGGGTCGGGGCCGGTAGCGTGCAGGGAGTGAAGGGAGTTGAAGGAGCGTGACGACACAGAAACGCTCTGACCTTCAGTAGCGCCTGCAGAACAAGCATAAGTCGTACGTCAATATATTCATTAGTTGCTAACATATGTGAAAACTTATTTAGTGATAAATTTAAAAGAAGTTTAATTTAAGCAAAAATTTACCTACTGATATTGAAAACGCTGCAGCTTGATCTCAACACAAATATACTTAAACAAATGTAGGTAGGTTTCTTGATCTCTAAAAAAATCAGTTAATTATATCAATGATGATAATAGCTACAAAAATTATATAGAAGGAATAAATGCATGGAAACGCTTCCAGTATCTATGAATTCATCTATTAGATAAAGCACAAAAGAAACTAAAACATTATTCCATAAATCTAAAAATAGGCTGAAACGACAATCAAATGGCATATTGAAACAAATGTGCAATTTTAGAGAGACAGGTCGTACTGAAGAAAATTATTTCAGTTACCTCGAGAAATACAACAAAAAAACTGTGGAATGTAGACAGGGTTTAGATTAAAAAATTTGTAAGACCCAGTCTCAATTAGTTCATGCATGCTGTTATAGTTATTGAAGCTCTCCTACAGGAACGAGATTGAATCAAAGTTAGATGAAATCTTTCATCTAAATTCGAAGCATCTATTTAGCTGAATGATTTCTAACGATAAATTTTCTACTAATACCTATATTATAGTAACGCATTTCCATAGGTATGCATCAAGACTGGTAATTTTCAGCACACTTCCGTTTCTTCAAAGCATTAGTTAGTGAACATTAGACGAAGAATGTAAGAAATGCAGTTAGTAAAGAACATATTAGACCATGTATAGTTTGCTCAGTACAAGACGCTTGAAGCATTCCCATCTCAAATTATTTTGACTATGCACAGTGTTCCAATTTCTGGGCAGAATCTTGATACCTACATTAGTTAGGACCACATTAAGAAGTACAAAAAATTCATTAGATTAGACATGCACGGAAAATCAAAAATCACCCTTCATATGTTAGTATATCAGTCATTGAAGTGTTGAAACTAATCAATACACCTCAGACCCCCAAAAAACGTTGCTTTGTTGGAAAGAACGTTCTAAACTGACCCTGGAATGTGCCATCGTATGCAGCAGCAACTCTGGTCTTACCAAACTCCCAACACTCCAACTGGTGACAACGACTGTAGTATTTGGAAGTAATGTAATACAAGTAATTCTGTTACATACGCAATATGTACTTAAATCATAAGAGAAATTTCACATTATTTATAGCATCGAGTGTTTGATCTAAGTCATCTAACCATTGGCACCAGTCTAGGGATATCCAGAGTTCTTTAGAAATGAATCAATGACTATCATTTATAACCATCAGAATTAAGTACATATATAATAGCTAGAATCTTATCCGCATCGGCATTAACCTCGAAATGGGAAGGTTTCTGACAGCTAATTCTTTCATAACATTTATCCTATTTGGTGCTCAGTGGAATCAATAAATGTTCATAGATTATACAAAAAATTCTAAAAAATCAATTAGGAATAAATATGGAAATTTAAAAATAGAGGTTGCACTTGAGGAATTTTTAATTAACATTTGAATTAGAGATGGCGTTTGAAAATTCAAGACCTTCACCTTCTCTGTTGGAGTCTTGAGGATCACCTTGAGAGCCTCGCGGGCTGCACGAGTCTTCTACTAAGTCCACTTTAATTGAGCAGTTTGTCTGAGAAAGACGCTTGGCTCCAGCACCAGCGACATCCAAGTCTATTTTCTGGCAGGCAGCTGCAGATGGTTCTCCACTCAAGGTTCGAATCGCTATTGCCTTTAGAAGAATACTTCTTTTTAATACATTTAACAGAATAATCTATTTACCGTTTAGTCTTTTTATTAAAAAAAATCAATTTATTTTATTTATCAATAGTGAGGTAATACTTTGACCTAATATCAGGCAAGTTGACATGAAACACTCCATCATGCCCAATTAATTTATAGCTGGCATAATAATCAATATTGTAATTCTTCCAATACCTTTCAAAAACGAGGCTAATGATAATCACAGCAGCCAGGATATCACTACCGGTAGTCTTGCTCTAATTCAACAAAACTAGCCTTATAGTCCTCAAGCTTGCGCTCCAGAGTGGGGTTGATGGCAGCTCGTATTCTTTCTCCAATGCCAGGCGAGTAAGGGGGAGTGTTAGACGGCAGAGTTGATGACTGGTCTGACACAGGGTCAGGTGCAATTAGGTCCTCTAAAGCAGGACCCAATTCTTGCAAGTTTTCCTGAAGGTTTTCCAACTTAAACTTGCCCTGAAATTAATAACATGAATGTAATAAGATACCTAAATCACAGCAGAAAAACAACACACATTTGCCTGAACCTCAGCTCAGCAATATCAATAAAGGAATAATTATTCTTACTTAACACACATCCCCAACATTAATATTACCCAATTATACATCTTTTTCATTTTCACAATATATAACTGCACACAATTTACCTTTAGCTTTGTTATGGTGGTTTCAGGACTGCTAGGAGGGTCCATCTCACCCCTATTGGCCCATGCACCCTCCACCCATTCCCTGGTTGCTAGACTTTGGGCTTGCTCAGGGGGAGTTGGAGGAAGTCTTGGGGGAGCATCAGGAGGATTGGACAACAGGCTTAGTCTGGAAGATAGGAGTCATTAATTAATTATTTGGTGCTGAATGTATAGCAGCCTATTAAATTGACATAATTGTAATACCTCACAATAAAATCACTTATTTTCAATACCAGTCATGAAGTTAAAGGGAGTATATCAAACATGAATCCTTTTACATAGTTTCTATTTAAACAGCAATATTCATGTAAATATTTTGAATGGTCACTTCAAATTTACTTCACCAGCACTTTCGCCAATTTAAATACATTAAAATTGAATTAAATACCAATGAAAGAGGCAAGCATTTGTAAAAAATTAGTTTAAAGATCTACTGGTAATTTACTTTCATTAATGTTTTATTTACATGAGTAATTAATTATGCAGAAAGAACGCTAAATGATAATTCAATATTATACATAATTTTTGCTATGTGTTTCAACAATTGTCAACAATGAATTAATTATATTTCATATCAACAAGAAATGCAATCTCAAGCAACATACCTATTAGAAATACTAGAAATGAGGTCATTGGAGGAGCTAATGGCTGATCGCAGCTTGGAACGGAAGAAGATGCTGCCACTGCCAATGTTTGCAGCAGCTGAACTTGGAGTGTTTTGTTGAGAGAGGTCTCCTTTTTGCCCAGCATTACTACCTCTCACACCAGCAAAGTTAGCCATTTTCTAATAATGATGCCTAATTATGATTTAATAAACAATCAGAAATGATCTGAGGTACTTTAATCTTGAATTATTTCCAAGATACCTAATTGGAGTTCTTCATGGAGAATTCATGCACAACAATGATAGTTTCATTAAAAGACATTCCTTGGCAAATCCTACACAAAAATTTCTACAGTGAAAATTAAGAAAAATGAAATTTCTTTCAAATTTCTGCCAAACTTCTTTTCCCAATTTCTTCGAAAAAACTAAAAAATGTAACTCAGTACTCACTGCAGTGAGTGACAGAGAGCACATTTTCTCGTCGACAAAAACTCAAGGTCACGGACAGACAGACAGACAGACGGACATGGTGAGCACAATAGTGCATTTTTTCCATAAATGAGAAAATGCGCTAAAAATGGCCTATTTTTGCCAACAATATTTTAAGATCACAATGCAAGTACCGTAAAATGGGGTAACTTAGACTACTTTTATTCTTATAAATGATGCCATTTTTTTACTAGCTAAATTAAACTTGAATTGAAACATGCAAAATACAGGTCTATACTCTAGCTTCACTCACCATAAATTGCTGGCTCCTGCTCCTCATAGTCNATTGCGGCTACGATGTTCAGAATAATATTTGAACTTGTTTTTGTTTTAACGCAGTCAACTACTTCAAGGCCGTTCAATTCAAGCCCTTTAAAATTAGGTATACGCAAGACCATTAGAGGCCCGGCTTGTTGTTCTTAGCTACCTACTTGCACTTACAGTACTTGGCTACTTTTAGTTTCGTTTCAGATTTGCGGGAGCCTCTGAAGACCAGAATGTGGCCCCATGACAGGTACTTGGGCTACTTGCACTTACCCAGTCCACCTTCTTATCTGCAGCTCCGTCCGTTTATCTCAAATTGACGTCTCGTACTCTCGTTTCGAACTACCAAATATGCAGAATATCCATCGCACAACTTGGCAAAGTATACGCAATTTGTTAAAACTTGAAATCAATATCAAATGTGTTGAAAGGACACAAAAGAAATGAAAATAATTTGTTTTTCGTACGATGAATGACAGATATAAATAAAATATTAAAAAAAAAAACTTTTTAAAAAACACGTTTTTCTTGTGGACTAAAAAGTAGAAAATAAATTATGGCTCGCCCCAAAAAGCGTGGGTCGGGCAGATTTATGATTAAAGCACACACACGAATTTTGGAAATTTGATGGTGAACGTACAGCCCGACCCACGTTTTTTTGGGGCAAGACATAATTTATTTTCTACTCTTTAGTCCACAAGAAAAACGTGTTTTTTTAAGTTTTTTTAAGTATTGTATTTTCTCCTTTTTAGTCCGTTGCTACACATGAAAATTTCAGTTCCTTTTATTTCAGTTGGCCACGCAAATGCACGAAAGAAAATTCTTTTCGAAGTTCTGTAGAAAATTGTATTCGAGGGGATACATTGTTGTTCCCGTATTCCATTTCATACCTTTCATTGAGTAAATACGCCTGGAAACGTGCAACAAATTATTGATTATCGTATTGTCATCGGGAGCTGAGCTTTCCTGAAAGTTTCAGAGCGCTAGCTAGCGGAAAAGTTGGTGAAATATCGATTGCAAGATTTGATCATCACAGACAGAAGGACACGAAAGCGAGCTAAGAAAAACGTGGTAAATAAATTCATTAAGTTGTAGCGGCATGACTACAGGCACTCAAGCGCCAAGCGGCTGTAGTGGCATGACTCATGATGACTGCACACGCTCTCAAGGGGCTGTAATGGCATGACTGCAGACGCTCTCATGGGGCTGTAGTGACAGGCCTGAAATATCACCGAAATTTTACGGCTAAATACTGTTCTATAGTCCGCAATTCATGTTACAATGTCACCTGGCAACTTCGACAATTCTGACAAGAATTTTCACAGCCATCTGAAAGTCTCTACCCATAACCCACTGCTCCAATCTTAGTAATTTTAGCCACTCGGCCACCAACCTGAATTGTAGTGGTTAAAGTTCAGAGTACGAAGATTGGTGCAGAGAGGCGCGGGTTCGATCCCAGCTCTGTGCGCCAGCTTCTGGTCAGAATCGGCGAGGAAGCAGGGCGGTTAAAACAAAAGCAGAATTGTAGCAGTGAGTTGCGAGTTCTGGGTCCGCAAAATGCTGTGAATGTTCTGTGATATTAAGAATCGGCGACAGGCCTACGGCCGGGAGCGCAGCCGTGCACCACCAATTTTGTGCACCAATAAGCCCTGAATCGAACGCCTTGGATCTCTCCTGACCTACACCAATCAGCCGTGCACCACTCGGCTTTGTCCTCTTCCGGCCTTGACCACCACCTGCCTTGCACCACCGTCCACCAGGCCGCGGATCGAATATGACTTCTGGGCATCGTTAAATTACGTAATTTTACGTTCACCGCATCTGAGGTTAGGTTTCAGAAAGCATAGTTCTGTTCCAAAATTTATCGTCCTTCGACAAGTGGCCGTTCGACCGAGGGCTGGTTCGACCCACGGCCTAGATACGGACGGCTTGAAGTGTTGAAGGCTACGTTCCGGAAGGCAGGAATCATGATGGTCCATTACATCCACGGCAGTGGTGGTCTTCGGCTGGCGACCCCTACGGCCTAATAAACGCTGAAACCGCTATTTCATTTAATTTAATTCAATACGAGTCGTCGATTAAATGACGCTCATAGGAGGTCACAAATTATTCCAATTCATGTCCATTCTTTATGTTGACAGGGAAAAATTACGGTTGTTCCATGAAATAAAATAGTCCAGCAATACTTTACAATATATTTTATAAGTCAACTATCAAACAAGTTATATAATTCAACATATACGTTTCCTCGATAGATACAGAGTTTGCTTTACTAATGCACATATTTTATGACTTTTAAAGATCTAATAATTTTCCAGCTGCGCTGAAATGTGTAAAACTAAAAATGTTGTATAGAACTTTTTAGCCGTATAATTCAAGTAATTCTGATCACAAATTTAGTAATTACCGCGAGCAAATTTTACTTTGGAAATATGATTCCACCGAGACTTGAAAAGGACAAAAATTTAATAGAGAATGTTCAAACACGAGCAACAATGATAATCGCATGTTTGAAGGGTAATTCCTATGAAGAAAGATTAAAGATTATGAAGCTTCCAAGCCTCTGTTATCGACGTCTGCGTGGGCACCTCATTGAAGTATACAAGTTTACTCTTGGTTTATACAAGGTCCCCGAAGGATTACTAGAATTCGAAACAAGAACAAACACCAGGGGCCACGGCTATAAACTAGAAAACTGCGCTGCAACTTATCCACGCGACAACATTTCTTCTCGCTTCGAATCACCGACATGTAGAACAGCCTCTCCAATTACATCGTTGGCGCTCCGAGTATGAACGCGTTCATGAGCAGACTAGATAAAGCTATGGAAAAATATATGTTCAGACCTGTATAGGCCCTGAAATGCCTAGCACCATATCGAACCCGGTGTAAGTCTAGTAGCTATTTCAAACTATCGTCAGTCTAGAAGAGATCCTGTCAAAGGATACGATGTTAGATCCTCTGTGAACAAGTCACGAAAAGTACAAGAATCGGTGACAGGCCACATCAGGCCTACTCTTCAGCGCCGACATCACTATGTAATGTTATGATAATTAATATGAATTTTCGTATTTCCATGCAGATATGATAATCTGTGATCTGTAAATCATGAAACTCTTTTCCGGTTTGTAACAATCACTTTGTAACTTTTTAAGAAATGTTCATTACCAACCAGGCAATGGAAACCATTACCAAACCAGGAAGTCATTACAAAACAGGCAATGAAACCATTAAGAAAGGAAAACATTACCAAACAGGCAATTGTCATGGAGAATTCTGGAACTATCGCCGTGTGTAGATACGAGTACATCTGTAATAAGCGTGCACTTATCTAGGATAAAGACAACTCCGTTGGATGCATTAAAACCTACTTAATTGGGCCACGGGATCTTTCACTGAGCGACTCATTAAAAAAGCAAGCAGAGCCTTGGTGTCGGATGCACTGCGTTTTCTGCAGAGCAAAGGCGGCTCCTCCCGGCCGGGTCGACCTTGATGAAATTTCGAGCCTGAGTCATTAGTGAAGAATTGAAACCACTTCACATATTTTTTTATGAAACTAAGACCTATTATAAGAAAATTAATTCTAAAGCTAACAGGTAATACACAAAGAAAATAAGGATTTTATTAACTACCGCTCCTCGAGTTGGTGATTTAGCAAAGCAAATTGCGACGGAATTCTAATTTCAAATATAACATACTGTTACGCAAACAAGAGAAAAGTCCTGAAATGCCTAGCACCATATCGAACCCGGTGTAAGTCTAGTAGCTATTTCAAACTATCGTCAGTCTAGAAGAGATCCTGTCAAAGGATACGATGTTAGATCCTCTGTGAACAAGTCACGAAAAGTACAAGAATCGGCGACAGGCCACATCAGGCCTACTCTTCAGCGCCGACATCACTGTGTAATGTTATGTTAATTAATATGAATTTTCGTATTTCCATGCAGATATGACAATCTGTGATCTGTAAATCATGAACCTCTTTTCCGATTTGTAACAATCACTTTGTAACTTTTTAAGAAAGGTTCATTACCAACCAGGCAATGGAAACCATTACCAAACCAGGAAATCATTACAAAACAGGCAATGAAACCATTAAGAAAGGTCCTGAAAGGAAAACATTACCAAACAGGCATTCTGGAACTATCGCCGCGTGTAGATACGAGTACATCTGTAATAAGCGTGCACTTATCTAGGATAAAGACAACTCCGTTGGATGCATTAAAACCAACTTAACTGGACCACGGGATCTTTCACTGAGCGACTCATTAAAAAAGCAAGCAGAGCCTTGGTGTCGGATGCACTGCGTTTTCTGCAGAGCAAAGGCGGCTCCTCCCGGCCGGGTCGACCTTGATGAAATTTCGAGCATGAGTCATTAGTGAAGAATTGAAACCACTTCACATATTTTTTTATGAAACTAAGACCTATTATAAGAAAATTAATTCTAAAGCTAACAGGTAATACACAAAGAAAATAAGGATTTTAATAACTACCGCTCCTCGAGTTGGTGATTTAGCAAAGCAAATTGCGACGGAATTCTAATTTCAAATATAACATACTGTTACGCAAACAAGAGAAAAGCGCCATCTTGGAAACGACGCAGAGAGAAAATTATTAATTATGTTATGTAATTATAAAAAATGATTATTTTCACATGTGTAAATAACTCACAGTCATTTTTCAAGCAGTGCTGACGGAAGCTACTCCTATTTAGTTGCAAACAAATCTTTCGTAAAATACATGCATCCATAACTTGAAAAGCGTTGGTCTTTTTAAGGCAGGAAGTCAAGTTAAGCCTATGCACATAATATTACCGATCTGCAGCGATCATTTCAGTTGATGGGCAGTTTTCAGTTCTCCTATAAAGAACTTCACACTAACACAGAAAAGAATAAAATTTTCTTTTCAAAGAGGTTCTCGAATAATCACAGCACGATGGAACTAGTTAAAACCTACAAATAATCTAGAAATTTATAGTTTACGCCTAGGCTCCGAGACACAAATCTAAAAACACTCTAATAATGGATAAATTCGTAGGACAAACGGCAAGAAATATTTACACGTAGATTAATTCGTTGTTCACGAAAACTCCGCAATCTTATGTGCTTCACACATTCGTTGGTTATATCAATGAATTCATTCATTCAACCCCATACATATAGGGGACATAGCTATCAAGTTTAAAATCTAAACACACAAAGCTGTAGTAAAGTCACAACGAATAAAATTTGTCTACCTAATTATCGATATTGAGCTAAATAGAAAAAAGTTTCAAACATGGCTCTCCATGTTGTTAGATCGGCTGAGAGAGCGAGTGTCGTATCGAAGGTTCAAGCTCTTGCTCGGGAGTCGCAAGCCCCACGGGGGATGGGGCAGATTTACCTCTCTGGAGCCAATGTAGCTGCATTGCCATGCATTTTTTTGAAGAGATGTACTTCTGCCCAAGAAAAATCTGCTCGTGGTGCTTTTTTCTGAATTAAGCCTAACTTTTTTCCTGTAGAATGGAGAATTTTTTATGACGATTCTGTTTTGTTTTGCTGATATCTGCGGAGATTCATGTTGAACGTCACTCTTCACGCAACTACCGTTAGACTCCTCATCTAATGCAAAGTTTTGATAGGATGATTCATCGTTCAACAAAGAAGTGGATAACAAACCAATTTGTTCTTCAATAGCACTATTATGTGCACGCTCAGGCCGGCGCTCCGGAATTGAAAGTTCATCCATAGAAACACAATTATTATCAGAGGAAGAGGCTGAGTTGAGCGCTTGGTACTCTCGGCTAGACGCATTACGGCGTTGATGTGTAGACGATTCCTCTGAATCCGTGGATGCCGAAGAAAAAGAAATAAGGGGAACATTCTGGTTATTTGCAGGTCCATTCAAGTGCATATTTTGAGGAGAAACGAAATTGTGACTGTTGCTTGTACTCGCAATATCACGAGTTGAATTGGATGCTAGAGACTTGAAATGATTAGAGCTCCGTAGGTTGAGTGTCGAACTGACCGATACCGAGCGATATTTTCTTTCAAATTTATATATTATTTGATGATCAGATTTGCCTCGCAAGCTCTTCCTTAATAAAGCAGGTGACGGGGAGACCGAGAGCGCCACTTCCGTTGGCCGAAAGGAAGAACTTCGCGAGGTCGATCGGCCTGAAAATTTGAAAAAGTTCTCGTTGAGAATTAACCTTGAATTCATTTAATATTTTTGAATGATATCCCTGATGCTATACTAAAGCGATATAGTTAAATTAAAACTCAATTTCTTATGTCAATATAAGTCTCATTTTACAAGTATATCCAGTGTTTTAACATGATTATATTTTTTTAATGAGACTTTCCGGTAAATATTGTACTTCCGCGGCTAACAATTCATACTTTAGCTGTTGTTCTGTATTGTTCAATGTGTCAATAGTGCCCGATAATAGTGCATAATGATTTATAGCTTTAGATATATCTTAACTCGTATAACATAATATTAACATTTAAAACATTTTTGTCAAAATTGATTCATCATTTTAAAAATTATTAAGTATTATAATCAGAGTTTCATTTTATTTAATCCTCGTAATACTCCATACCGTGTGGATCATATTAAGGTAGCAGGTGCGCTCGAGTTGCAACCTTAACTCTTAATAACATCTTGAGTGCTGTCAAGAAACTTTACTAAGATTTGATTGCTTCTGAGTTACATAACGGAGTCTCTTTACACAATGCAGTGCGTGTATCTCAATCTCACGGAATCGCAAAATAATTTAAACCCAAAATTAAATCCTATAAATGCTTGCAGCAGCCATAAACTATACAGAAACCTCAACCTTATTTCATAGAATTATTTCATTTTAAATAATTTCAGTCATACTACGTTTTCGCGTTTTATCTTGTGTGGCGTAATACGAGAAAGCTAATAAGCTTCGGCACAGGCACGATAATAATAACAGTGTTATAACCCAGCGATACTGCAGCGAAATTTACTTGTATCAGTGTCGTTATAATGCGATTAACTAGCATAATAAACTGATTGCAGAGTTAATCTGCAGGCACTGAAAGTTATGTTATTACCGAGCTAAACTTCGACGTACCATAACGTTTGGCTGCGATTTACTAAATGATTTAATAAACTTATGAGTGTTGTTTCACAGCGTTTCTGTGCGACTGAATTTATATTGAAGTATCGGTGGCATTAAGTCAGTCAGAAATGTCATTTCTATGATGACATTTGCCAAATAAGTAAGATTAATAAAGCAGCATTTTAATAATAAACAGCATTTAATTTTAATAATATTTAAAATTTTAATTTAAATGAGCTGCTGAATTCAAGTTAAAAAATGGTTGAAGGCATAACAGGCTATTTGAAGGATAATAACCACAACCGTTGAAGTAATGATATAAAATGTCACAAGATAAACTAATATAAACAACAAATATTCTATGCAAGATTAACAAGCACAAAATGATATCACGTACCTGAACGGTAACCGCGCAGAGTGTGGCGGAGGGAGGTTCGAAACCTTGTAGATGTGAGGTTGTAGAGAACCGGGTTCACGGACGAGTTCAGGTAAACGAGAAGGCGTACTAGAAACTCCAGGTTGAAATAAACCTGTTCGGGCAGGACTTATTTACGTGAAGTCGAGTAGCAGCTATATTTCTATCGTGTTTAGGGCATTAGCATTCTTTGCTACATTGTTTCTTGTATATAGGACAACAAATTAAATTGTCTCGTTGGAAGAATGGCCAAAAAATAGATTTATTGGGAAAAATATACTAGATACTAGAACTAGAACAATAAAAGAAATACAGGTAATATATATTTGGTTCAATTAAAAAAAGTAAACAGTTGAAATTCATTTATTGTAATTAATTGAATGATCGCCATACATATCGCAGACAGATATATAAGGTAGATCAAGCATATAAGGAAATTAATATAATGACCGTAAATGTTGAACACTTCATTAAATATTTTCGAATTCCAAGTTCTTGTAGTTCTTGGAGAAAAAAAAACATTGCTTATTTGGCAATTATCTGTCGTTAATTTCTAAATGCATGTTGCAATTATAAAATGCTATTCATTTGAATCAACTTCACTCTTTTAAGTCGCAAATTGCTCGTTTTTTAGAGAACGCTACGCTGGTCGCACGCTAACGTTCCAGCTGCAAAGACAAGGTGAATATTTTTTTGAGAGAAGCGTTGGAAATACAGTAGCGTCAACAACTTAATTGTCTACGGGAAGATGTGAGCAAAACGAGGATCCGTTTAATTAAGTCAGAAATTGTTATTGAAAAAATATTGTCACGTGTTTCTAGTGTTATATGCAAACTCACTGTGTTACTGTGATGTAGATGGAAACTTGAAATGTATTAATTCTACATAAATGGCACGAGAAAACATCGAAGTGCGAAAAACGTTGCGTCGATAACACTCAAGTGAGACTAATTAAGGTAATTAGGATGCGCACAGCGCATGAATTGCTAAGATCTGAAGAGAGGAGACTCTATTAATTTATTTATCTCATCAATTAGAGTAATTTCATCACGAGCGAACCTGACTTTCCTGCTATAGGCATTGCATCCAAATAGACATAGTAAACACCGGCTTTAGTACATTAAACTACTTACCACTTTTTTAATTTATTCTAACACTATTATCATTGTAAGTACGATCAAACTCGTCAACAGATCGATCAAGAATGAAGTAAAGCAATTTACATGCATGATTACCAGCGCTATAAGATTCCTTCGAATTCGCAAAGGAGCAGCAATCGTGTGCCGGTAATTGGAGGAGTGGATTGCATAGCGCAAGAACTGACGGTAATCAGGCAGGCAGGATTGCGTATAGCAAGAACTGACGGTAATCAGGCAGGCAGGATTGCGTATAGCAAGAACTGACAGTAATCAGGCAGGCTGGACGTACAGCGGTTGAGGATGAATGAGCCAGGCGTCGCAAGAGCAAATTGCTTCTCAAGCTTAAATGAAACACTCGTTGACTCGCTGGTCGTTCTACGACTAAATTGTGTGGCATCTTTATGGAGATTCCAGTTTAGTTAGCGTCAAAGTAGAGAAAAACCATCGCGTAAATCATGCAAGAACGAAATGGAAGTGGAACAGAATCTTTTCTGAACCGGTTTCGTAGCTCGGTTCTGTAATTGACTGTATATATCCAATGTCATGCATGTGGAAATTAAAAGCGCAAAGAGCAAAGAAAGTTTCAAATTGATAGAATTTTTTACGCATTGTGCTCTTCTCGAAAGCCCTACGTGGCTCCAACATATTTATCAAACTTGAGCACCTAAGTCCACTCAACTCTAGTCCACTCTAATTTGTAATATGATTCTATTAATTAATCCTTCTACTTACTAAAAATTATTCAAAATGAGTAATACTACAAAGTTCTGAAACCGAGATTATACGCTCTCACAAATACGTTGTAGAATTTATTTTGATGTTGAACTTAGGTTTTATTGAAGGCTCAAGAAAGAAAAAACTTCAATAGCCGCTTGAATTAATTAAAAAAAATACCTAAAATATACATCAAACCGGACAACTTTGAATCTCATGCGGCTGATACTTTTACAACAGCAACTTGTTCATGGAGTCGAATGTTGACTGAAGTCAAGTTTGAATAAAGTTTTTTAGTTTATAAACAATTAGAGCGCTAAGCAAATACACAAGCTACAACACAAGAGGTAAAGAGCTATCAAGTTGCAGCATTTTTATATAAGCCAAGAGATTAACGTAGGTAATCGACTTACTATAACAATATCAATATCGCTTTCCGCAAATTTAGCTCATTTCGCTCGGCAGATAACGTTTTATCTATTTGTGAAAAACCCTCATGACTCCAAAAATCTAGATTACAAAATCTATGAAAATGATTAAAATCAAACCATGCAATTGTCTCTTATCAACAAGCAAAGGTTCCTGTCAGATCTAAAGTCATAAATCATTTTATGCAGTTATGATAATTAAACAGATAATGGCATAATCACATCGTCACTTGATACTGTAGTGCAATTAAATACGTACAAATAGTAATTATATTTTTTCTAAAAATAAATCCTAATTAAGAAGATAGGTTACTCTTGTCTATCACAAATCGTTACTTGATAAATTGTAATTATATTTTTGCCGGAAATTAAATCCTAAGTAAGAGGATATGAACTCTGGTCTATCACAAATCACTGCGGGATAAATTGTAATTATATTTTCCTTAAAAATAAGAGTGAGAAGTTTTTCCTAATTAAATGGATATGACACATTGGTCTATCACAAATCTCACCTCGTACGGTATTTTGGTTTGTGCCAGCAGCGTCCACAAGCTGAGCACGTGGTACGGCAAAAGGCATATGAAGAAAAACACCACCACCGTCGCCAGCATCACAACCACCTGTACAACAAACTCGATGGTAGGACTGCAGGAAAACCAAGGGATGAAGAATATAGGATGAAATAACCGAAGGGTAAATTGAAGAATGCACAGAACAGAAGGTAATACTGGAAATGAATATATGGAAATGTAATATAACAGTAGAAATGGATAGGACAATTTTCTACAATTCTGGTTTCCCCAGCGTTACTCAAGAATTTATACCATTCAACATTTTCAGTAAATATATATTGGACCTGTTTGCGTTGGGCCAGGTTGGGGTTGCGGAGGTTGGGGTGACGGTCGTCGAGGTTGCGCAGAGTTGCGTCTTCGATAAGGAGTCTCCGCGCAATGCGTCTGAAGATCACGAGAAGCACAGCCAGCGGCAGGAAGAATAGCAGCGTGTGGCAGCTCAGCACGTATAGCTGTGTGAAATACTTGAATATTTAGCTAAAAGTGAATTGCTTCGTGACACGTACACGTACAATTGAAGGATGAAAGAAGCGTAGCTAGTAGCAGCTTAAGACGTAAAGCTGCGTGAAATGCACATAATAAAATATCATTGATTGCATGCACGGCTGCATGATTAAAATTACTACACAGGCATGAGCAATTTTTGTACTATTTTACTATTCTATATATATAAGTGGGATACTGAAGCCCGCATACCCATTGATGAACCATGCAAGTATATGAGGCAAAACTCGGAATTGATATGAAATTAACAAGTAAAATTCTAATAATTATCGGAATTTAAATACTAACAGAAATGTCAGTCAGCAACCTTGGAATGAAAATAATAGTATATTCAAGGCCTATCATTGCATATGCATTTTCTAATTTTTTTATCGATAAATTATGTCACTATTTACAGCACAAATGGGAAAAATAAACTCAGTACTCACTGCAGTGAGTGACAGAGAGCGCATTTTCTCGTCGACGAAAACTTGAGGTCACGGACGGACGGACAGACGGACGGACATACAGACAGAAGGACATGGCGAGCACAATAGTGCATTTTTTCCATAAATGAGAAAATGCGCTAAAAAGGCTCTTTATACGTATTCATTCGTAAATCCTTATTATCTTTCAGTTGCAAAGGAACATTGGACAATTGCAACCCTTATTCTTTAAAGCCTAACAACGACACAGATAAATGCATTATAGAGTGCCTCACACCAGCTCATTATACGCTGCTATGTTGCTATGTACTCAAAATCTCATCGTTTTTAACAATATCTTACTTTATTGTACCATTATGTTCAAATTTCACATGCTTTTCCGATATAATGGCCATATTCCTAAAGAATTAAATTAAAAAACAATCCGAATCGTAGCTAGAATAAACAATGTTTACCATAATAATATGACACAAACGGTGAATAACTTCTTGCTTCATTTGCACTAGACTCAACTCGATGATGGAGGTTGGGGTGACGGTCGTCGAGGTTGCGCAGAGTTGCGTCTTCGATAAGGAGTCTTCGCGCAATGCGTCTGAAGATGACGAGAAGCACAGCCAGCGGCAAGAAGAATAGCAGCGTGTGGCAGCTTAGCACGTACAGCTGTGTGAAATACTTGAAAATTTACCTAAAAGCATTAGTGAATTGCTTCGTGACACGTACACGTATGATTGATGGATGGAAGAAGCGTAGCTCGTAGCAGCTTAACACGTACAGCTGTGTGAAATACTTGAAAATTTAGCTAAAAGCATATAGTGAATTGCTTGGTGATACGTACACGTATGATTGATGGATGGAAGAAGCGTAGCTCGTAGCAGCTTAACACGTACAGCTGTGTGAATTACTTGAAAATTTATCTAAAAGCACTAGTGAATTGCTTCATGACACGTATATGTGTATAATTGATGAATGGAAGAAGCGTAGCTCGTGGTAGCTTAACACGTACAGCTGCATAAAATGCACATAATAAAATATCATTGATTGCATGCACGGCTGCATGATGAAAATTACTACACAGCAATGAGCAATTTTTTACGATTTTACTAGTGTATTTTCAATAAGTGGGATATCGAAGCCCGCATACCCATTGGTGAACCAAGTTTATGAGGCAAAACTCGGAACTGATATAAAATCAACAAGTAAAATTCGAATAATTATTGGAATTTGAATAACAGGAATGTCAATCAGCAACCTTAGAATAAAAATGATAGTATATTCAAGGCCTATCACTTCATAAGCTACAGTGGGGGGAAATAAATATTCGTACACTTGAAAAATCGTATTTTAATGTATGTAAGTACACAAACTGAACAGGAGAAGTGATTTATATTGATTTTTCAAGTGTACGAATATTTATTTCCCCCCACTGTATATGCATTTTCTAATTTTTTTATCGATTAATTATGTCACTATTTACAGCACAAATGAAAAAGGCTCTTTATGCTTATTCATTTATAAACCCTTATTATCATTCAGTTGCAAAGGAATAGAGGATAATAACAATCGTTGTTCTTTAAAGCTCAATAACGACACAGATAAATGCATTAGAGAGCCTCACATCAGCTTATTAACGCTGCGATGTACTCAAAATTTCATCGTTTTGAACAATATCTTACTTTATTGTACCATTATGTTCAAATTCTACATACTTTTCCATATGATAAAAATATTCCTAAAAACTTAAATTAAACAACAATTCGAATCGTAGCTAGAATAAACAATGTTTACTAATAATGGCACAAGCGGTGAATAAATTCTTACTTCGTTTACACTGGACTCAACTCTATGAATGACTCTTTTATTGTTCTAGTTCGACGGATGTTTTCAAAGAGCTCGATTTCTCGAGTCTGATACTTGAAAAAATCTCATAACCACAATACTTTCATTTCGTCCGACCAAGGCAACATGCGGGCATTGACTCGACAAAATCTCTTGCCGCACAAGGATCAAGAGAATCAATCTGTTGACACGGTTCTCGTCGTAAAACAACATTCAAGCTTTACACGCACAAACCCAAGCAAATGTTAGCACAGAGTATTATTGATAGATGTTTATTTAGACAGGATTGCATCCAATAATATAGATTTGTATCAATCAGATAAAAATTCACATGAATAAAACATATTTTGAAATTCTTTAAAAATATTCTTATTTTCAACTCGTTTGGAAATTATGACTTATTATTTGAGACAAACCTAGATCCAAATAAAATGCAAATCGACCTCCACTCAAGCATGATCAGTCTTTGGTCCCTCAGCATGCTTGTTAATTAATAAAGAACTCATGTTAAATCTTGCCCATTATACGCCATGAGCAACGAACTTATTGCGCGAAATTTCAATTTGTGCATCGAACGTTATATATTTGCCTTCCCAAGGAGCGCAGAAGCGGACAATAAAGTTTTGCTTTGATGCTAAGTAACAACAAAACAATCGAGCTAAGAAGTCTTTAATGTCACATCTAGGACTTCATTAGAGCTTTGATGAAGCGTCGGAAGACAAGGAATGGATAAATGATGGTACTCATTTGGATAATTTGGCACACAATTATGTCCAGGAAAATAATAATAATAGACAAGTCGGTAGGTAAATAATAGGCTTTAAGCGTTGTTATGAGTTAAAACAAGACGCCACTATATCGCTAGTCTCACTTACGTATAAGTTTGTGGCGACCTTCAATAATTTTTTTAAATAACAAAATGCACTTGAATTACTCAAGTTCATCAAAGTCACGCGAAAATTGGATAAAATATTGCACTGCTAGGCACGTTTCGCGAGGATTCGTAATGCCGGTCAATTTGAGGTAAAATGGCTGCATTTACGCGACACAAAAGTCGCCAGGATAATCACCTAATTAGCCAGGCAAGGGCACTAAGCTCAACGTACAATGAAATGAATACAAGTTTCGATCAACGGTTCTATGAAATTCCTACAGACCATCATTGCATGGACGAACGTTTTGTTCGTACTGTTTGACCTTAATTTGTTGTAAATTGCCGTCAATTCCAACGAACGGGTTGAGTTTTACGAATACTTCTATCTTCTAGACCGTTACAAATGAAGAGTAAATAACCTTTTGACAGAAGGAGAATTAGATTACAATCCATTTTACTGAGTCTGTATGAAGTCAAAATTTTTCCCTAAGATACGCAACTAAACTCTGTACTAATGCTATAGAAACTCGATTTGAGCCACGAAGAAAATAAAACATGGTGACTCATAACGCCTCCTGCCTCACTCTCTTCCAGTGCGCCTCGACGTCGGTGAGGCACACGTGCTGACTTATAATAACGCCTCCTGCCTCACCCTCTTCCAGTGCGCCTCGACGTCGTTGAGGCACACGTGCTGACTTATAATAACGCCTCCTGCCTCACCCTCTTCCAGTGCGCCTCGACGTCGTTGAGGCACACGTGCTGACTTATAATAACGCCTCCTGCCTCACCCTCTTCCAGTGCGCCTCGACGTCGGTGAGGCACATGTGCTGACTTATAATAACGCCTCCTGCCTCACCCTCTTCCAGTGCGCCTCGACGTCGTTGAGGCACACGTGCTGACTTATAATAACGCCTCCTGCCTCACCCTCTTCCAGTGCGCCTCGACGTCG